ATGGGCATGCTCAGTGATGTCAGCTCACCAAGAAGCTGCTCTCCAAATACTGAAGCTGGAGTTGTGGAGCAATGTCAGAATAAGCTATAGTGGCCATGATCACTGAGATGTCGTAATATGTCACCCACTAAAGAGATTGTTGCCCTTTAAGAGCAACAATTAGATTTTCTGAAATACTCTTATTTTGGTATTTAAATCCTTCACTTAAGTAATAAGCAGCAATACTATACATTTTTGCTTAAAGGAGTAATTTGACATTTTTGGAAATACACTTTCACTTTCTTGCAGAGAGTTAGATGGAAAGATCCTTACCACTATCGTGTCTGCTGGAGCCAGCATCTGGCTAGGTTAGCTTAGCTTAGCATAAAGACTGGTAGCAGGGGGAGACAACTAGCCTGGCTCTGTCTAAAGGTAACAAAATCTAGGTGAATTTATTGACGTTCGGACAGAGCCAGGCTGCCAGTTTCATACTGTTTCCTGTCTTTATGCTAAACTAGGCTAACCAGTTGCTGAAGCTACTTATTACTTTTTACCTAACCTGAAAATGAATATGTATTTCCCAAAATGGCTAACTATGTGTTACAAATATTTTAGGACAAAAAGGAATTTCTATGACATTCAGGCAGCTATATTAGGCTTTGGCTGCAGGTAAGATTGGTTTTGGCATGTTTAGAGAATTTGTTGATTAAAAATGAAAGAAATAAAATAACCCTAGCCATATCCTTTAAATCCTATTTGTACCTCTACCCACCGTGTGCATCACCCTTAAAAACCTGCGAGTTGTTCATCATGAAGTATTATATCAACACTGTTGAAACAATCTTCTACTGTTCCACAGCAGTCCAACACCAGGCTCACCGGAAGTTGCTGAGGCTCCTGAGCTAGGTCAGTGTCACTGCTGACTATACGGCAAAACATCATGTGATTTTGATCGCATGGTATCTCTACTGTCATAAATGTAACTATGCACAACCATTGTTTTTTCAGTGTCAGTCCATTTTCTTGTGTGTGTGTGTGTGTGTGTGTTTTCATGGACGTATTCCTACAGTAGTTCCCCGTTTTTAGCTTTCTATGAAGTATGTCAGTGAGTGTGTGTTTGGTGAGTGAGTTTGGCTGTAAAGGCCGCTTCAGCCTGAGATTTCAAAAGGACTCTGGGTCAGGAGAGTCTAATCCATATGGCCATCGGGAATCACGGCATGTGCCAAAGGTTTAAGTTCACATCCACTTGAAATAAACTAACAGTCTCTTTTTCCCCCACATGAACTCAACCCCCTAGAAGACATAGCTAAAGAAGAAAAGGTAGAGGAGGAAGCAGCTGCCATCATCCCAGAGGTGGAGGAGAGTCTAGTAAGTGCCCACACAGATTGTTTACCAATTGGCTTTTCAATATCTTACTAATGTGCACACTTGACTGCTATATAACTGTGTCTCTTTCTTATGGCACAGCTGGACAATGACATTGCCGTGCAGCCTCCCACGCCCACTGTGCTGGAGCAGGTGGTGGAGCTGAGCATCCTCCTGACTGGAGAGATGTACAGTGACAACCTGGGCGATCCAGCCAGCCTCCATTACCAAACCCTCAGCAGACAGCTTGCTGAAAAGGTCCGTCTCTGGCTCCAACTCCTTCTGTCTGTCTCTTTATGACTCCCCATAGAGCTACTGTATCTTGGCCCCAGACTGGACTCACTATATCTCCTGGTTTATGGTCTGTGATGGATGCATTGTTAGTTTTCATAACACGCACTTTAACAGCAGAAGTAGTTAAACCCAAAACAGTTAGGCAGGAGTTCAAGAACACAGGTTTTATGGTACGCATTTGGTTTTGGTGAAATAACTATCTGCTGGAAATTTCGCTTTATGACTTGTCTTGGGAATAGATAAACTTTTGCACATGCACACATATGCTCAGGTACTCTCCTTTGGAAGCGACTTCAGTGGTTTTACAGGTACTCGGAAAATTCAGTAAATTAGTTTAGATTTTTCCCAGGCAGCCAGCTCGACACACAAATGTTGTAGGACACACAGACACGCACATACCTTGTAACAACATCATAAGCACATGCTTGATTTTGTGTCTACAAAGGAAGATGTTTCTCCTAATCACTGACCTGTTTTTTATTCCCGGTCTGTGGAGGAGGTGGAGAACTAAAGACTTAGAGTAACTAACTGAATGTTAGGGGGCCCTGGAGATATTTTTCTATCCTCCTCCTCTCTGATGGATTAGTGGGTCAGTGAGTCTGCAGAAGAGTATATGCATTGTTTTTTAGTAGTGTCTAGAAGCAAGGCCTTGTAGACAAATAAAAAAGTTGACCACAGTGCAGCAGTCTGCATCCCAAGGATAATGATGTGGGCCACAGCACAAAAGACTCAAGACCTTTCAACTATTTTGAACAACATGAGCTCTCTTGGAGCAATAAATCAGATTTATTTTGCCAAGTGAGTTCTTTGTAACGGCGTCAAAATAAGAAATAAACTATAGCTGAGGCTTGTTTGTAATGCCTGATCTTTTTGTCCTTTCAGATAGAGGATGCTCTGGAGGGGCTTCCTGGATTTAAGAGTGTGTCTGTGTTGGACTTCAGGTCAGTCACTCTGCTGTTGTTAAATATTGGGTCTGGCCAAAAGAAACTGTCCTCACAATATGGCCAAAAACTACACCAACGTGTAGCATTAACACAAGTTCACTCTCCTTGTTGTATGTAGACCCCAGAAGGACACCCAAGGGTGAGTTTTCAGTTCAGGCTGTAGCAGTTTGACCTTGAATACTTCTCCCCATCCTGCCTTGTATTTAAGCCTGAGAACCCTATCAACCAACCCTTAGCTAGATCTGTGTGTGCGTGTGTGGGATCACCTTTACCCCCCACTGTGTTTACCTGTGAGCGTGGGCACGTGTCAACATGTGTCACTAGTTGCCTGTGTTAATGGTCTTAGTGTGGTCACTCACCTGTTAAGTGGGATCAGGATGAGTCCAACGGAGTGAGCAGGTGCTCTTCTATAGAGATGATTATCAGGGCTTTACGACCACGCCAATCAGCCTACAGTAGGGGAATGGAGGGAAAGATATTTTAAAATTAATTTTAAAAGACGTAAGTAAATGGAAGGAATGGAGTTAGTAGGTAGTGGTGTGGTTGTCATGCTATTGGTATTTAAATCCTTTACTTAAGTAATAAGTAGCAATACCACGCACCTTTTTACTTGAGGTAGTAGTTCGACATTTTGGGAAATACACTTTCGCATGGAGAGTTAGATGAAAAGATTGATACCGCTCTCCCATCTGTATGATAAAGATAAGGCTGCAGCCAGCACCCGGCTAGCACTGGAAACGGGGAAACAGCTAGCCTGGCTCTGTCCAAAAGCAACTAAATCTACCTACCAGCTCCTCTAAAGCATTTTAATGTTGTAGCTGGTTCGATGGAGCCAATTTGACCAATGTATAGACTATTGGGCAGTGTAATCTTAAGCTGATTACGTGTTTTGTACGTATGTTCTTGATCTGCAAAGAAACCCGTGACTACAGCCATCATATATATGTTGTGGGTTAAAGAACAATATTTGCCTGGGAAATATAGTGGAATAGAAGTAGCAGAAAATGGAAATAGTCAAGTAAAGTGCAACTACCCAAAGTTTTGTACAGTACTTGTGTAAATGTACTTAGTTACAAACTCTGCTCTTTTTGTTGTCAACCATACTTTGTAGACTACGTGGCCAAAATGGTGCAAACACATACACATTAAGTACAGTGAGAAATATATTTATACCTTCCCACACTGTGATTAATGTTGCGTGCTGCTGCTAACTGATCGCAGGGCACGAGGTAGAGCTCTCTCGGCCTGCCTCTGTATATGTGTGAAACTAAAGGGGGAAAATTTGGATCTCCTTCCAAATGTGGCCGACTGTGGGCCGGCGCGTGCTCAGCCGTCCGCCAGAAACCCAACAAACTAGGTCAGAGTGGAGGGCTCCCAGTAGTCAAATGAAGGCTGATAGATGTTTTTTTCCAGGGCCTGGAATCTCTTGTGAGGTTTCCATGTTTATTATGATGATATTGATCATTCTGCTGACTTGGCCGTTTTTGTTTTTTTTTGGCCTATACAGTTGAGCTCCTGCATACCAAGCAGGAGTAAATCACTGAAGTCATCAGTCATCTGTGAGCGATCTACAACTCTTTTAGCAGGTTTGATGTTAAATCAAGCTAATGCCTGAGCGATTTTCATCCTCTTAGAGAACCGCTCTCTCATCCAGGAGACATTATTTCATACATTCATATTGTAAATGTGTGTATAAGATGAATGTAAAATTGTGCATTTTAGGTGCCAGTGAATTAATTAGAGAAATTCCTCACCAAGTTTGGTTTAGAAAAATGAACAAGAACAACCATTAAGGTGCCCTTGAGCAAGGCACTTAATTGTTAATGTTATGTGGTGCTGCAGCAAACACAAGATGCAGGTAGAAAAAGAGTAATCAAGGGAAGATGAAAATTCTGGGACAGAACAAAGCGGGGAATATGGCTGAAATCAGAATCACAACATAAATAAGAATTGAGATTGAATTTTTACCCTTGACCTTGGGAAAAAATGTTTCAGTAGACAAAAAACAATCTCACAACAAACAGTCTCACCACAAGGTCCATTTAGCTTCTTGTGGAAAAATTTAAGGAGGTGTACTTATATTTCACAGTGTACTTAACGTTTGTGTTTGCACAATTATGACCCTACAGTAAATAAAATTTTAAACTTGATATATATGTAAAAAATTTACATAAATGCCAAATGTATGCAAATGTACAAATAAAAGAATAAAATCGATGTTCAATGCAGTTAACTCTGTTTCAATGATCCAGTGCTTTACACCAAACAAAACTGTTCACACATAAAACAAAAACCTTAAATTGTTAATTTAGGCAACACAATTTTTTAAAATGAGATCACAATATAATTACAATGAGTGACCACTTTTATAGGTACACCTGTAAAAACTAATGCAATCCAGTAAAGCAGCTCAGCCATAAATTCAACCTTTGCAAAGATTGTTTCGTTTTAATTGCTTTTGTCAGATAGGTATTAATTTAATTACATTGTTATTATTGAGGTTGTACTTTGCAGTGATTTTGTACTGGGCTGCATTATATTGAAATGTATTTCAAAATTTCCTCCATCCTCATTTTTGTTAATGCGGTGGGCAAAAACATCAGAAACACCTCTTAGTATAATGCAATATGCTGCAAACAATATAATCTAACCTAAATATAGAATTTGTGGCAGATTTGTTGTATTGCATTGAGTATGTGGATAGGATGTAACTACTACATATTTGTGTCTTCAGTCTGGGTGGCGTGGTGGTGGACTATGCTGTCACAGTGCTGGTGGATGGAACAGGGGTGAGCAATGAACAGCTGGACTATCTGACCCTGCAGTCAAACCTGGTGGAAAACTCATACCGTGAGGTCATGGAGCGCCCTACATTGGTCTACACCATCAGTGAGGTCAAAAACTTAATCACTGAAGCCCTGCATAATGACGAGAGGGAGAGTGGTAAGACAATACAGTGCAAAGATTTTCCCTGCAATGTAACAGAACACACACCTCCAAACGCAAACCTCCAAATGTCATATCAAATAGAGACACAGTGGATTCAGCATTGATATTACAACAAACCCTACACCGCTAGAGAAAACATTCCAGGATTTTAATAGTCTCATCTGTTTCTTATTTGTCTGCTCTTTCTGTCAAAGAGGACAGACATATATTCCTAAGAAGTTTGAGCTCAAAAGTGGGCCATTTTTTCAACAAATAACAGTCATCAGTTATAGTAACTGTGTATTTATTCTGTGTTACAGTTAAATCCTTGTCATTAAAAGGTCTGCAAAAGAGAACTGAGCAAAAAGGAAGTTTGAAATCTGAGCACTCAGTTTGTTTTTTTGCTTAAATAAAGTCCTTTATTTTGGCGTACATCCGCTGGATCTTTCAGATTTGGCATTGGACCATAACATTGTGGGATAGTTAAAAATACGGATAAAGATTCATGCAGCAGAACCAACGATATCAGCTTTTTTATTCCATCCATTCTTCCTTCATGTTAAAACCTGGTGCCTAAATTAACCACAATGCAACTCAACATCTGACTGTTTGGTCAGAGATACAAAAGTAACACATAAACTCAAATGCTCACATAGGCAAGATCTAAACCATGGTATCTGTTAGATTTAGCCAGCCAGTAAGTAGGTTAACTACCTACTACTTCTGACCAGGGCCCTCCTCCTGAAATTTGAAGAAAATGAAGAGTCTGATAATGTCAATAGCATCTCCTTCTCCTGTAAGATTTCTCCTTGCTCATGTTTTCTGCTTGTCATTAGTTTACTGTGTTAGCGAGCTCCCCTTGAGATAGATGCCATTTGATGCTCACATTAACTATAGGCTTGGACATGTGAAATGATCCCTAAACACTCTCATATGGCCCACATGTGTGACTGGGGAGCTTAAAGGCACGGCTTTGCTTTGTTTTTCTGCTTTGGTGGTGATGCAGTAATAGCCTTGGCCCACAGCAGCCGTTATTCACTCCAGATTTCAGCACTGATTTGTAGATATTTACCCCTGAAGGTAATGCCGTCAAAATGAAGGCTGTCAAGTGCTGAAATTGTAACAGTTAAAATGATTCTGTAGATTCCTGAAGGCATGATTATTTTAGCTCTTTGGCACATTTGCCTTTAGTGTGTCAGTTTGTATTTATATTTGTTTCTCCACTGGTTCCACAGTGTCTGAGGACCCCGAGTTTGTCAATGCTGCAGAAGAAGCGGCGGTGAGTAACAAGTTACCTCCACAAGTATCATGGTAACAATCTATCTGCGGGCTATCCAGGTGCTTTGAACTCTGCTAAGCTGATAAATCACTTTTGTTTAAGGAAGCTGACAGTTGTAGTATGACTGATGTGGCGATAACCTGTAACTGACTTGTGATGTTATCCAGACTACACCAGTGCAGGTAGGGATGAGCTCACCAGCGAGGATGAAGTGAGGCTTTGAGGATTAGTTTTGGCTCTTGCTGCAATAATCCACTGCTATTCTGGGGCAAAGGCTACAGTACACCACACTGCGGCGAGGAAAGAGAGACAACACATTTGAGTTTATTCAGACAAGTATTACCATCTAAAGTCTGTCTTTATTTGTGCTGTGTTGTGGTTGTCTGTGCTCTTTGATGGTAATCAGAGTTTGGGTTGCATTAAATGTGTCTGCTGGTTCACTTTGTAGCTCAGCTTGCTAAGTGATTAATTTGACTCATTATATGAAGAGTTTGGCAAACTTCACATCAGTAATTGATTTACAGGCAAGAGTACAGAGCTACTGTGCCACCAAAGCACTTTGCTGCCCTGGTTTGGATTTAGAATGTTTTAGATACAGCTACAGCTGCTGTCCTTTTCAAGCTTTCATTGAGTTGATATTAGACGTACGGAGCCTGCAGGATGCCACTAAAGTAAGACTTCTACAGTTCAGTCAGTACATTAATACGTTTAGAAAGCTATCATGCATTTTTTAATAAAATAAAATTTTTCACGATTCATAAAATAAACTTCAAGTTTATTTTCTGCCCTCGCTATGCATGTAGGTGTATACTATACTTCCAATAAAGGTTAAAGACAGCGCATTGCCTTTACAGTTTTTACTGGAAACAATTGTGAAACTGTGAACACAGTAGGCTACTGGACAATAAATTCAATGGCAGTGTTTGCAAAACCAAGTTAGATAAACAAGAGTTGGACCAAACGTATTGAAAAAAGGTGTTTGTACAGCAACATGGAAAGTGGATATAGAGGAGCTGTGAAATTGGTTGCATCGTGCTTCGTGTCTAGAATAAACAAATAATCATCAATGAAAGATCAAGATTAAGTCCTCATAGAAGGCACAGCACACTAATTAATCTGGTAAACACACACATAAAGTAGAACTAGTAAAACTGAAGAAGAGTGAAATTTATCCCCACAGCAATTCAACAGATCTTTGAATGTTGCGTTAGCAACATGAGCCTTAGACAGTTAGCATAGTAGCTAGCTTGGTTAGCAGTAAATTGATTGTAGAAAAACTCAATTCTGCTAAACCACATAGTACGTATGCACCATTAGGACATTTGGAGAGTAGATATGTAATAATGTCAGTTAGACAGCAACTACTTTGGAACTGTGCCAACAACAGAATGCTCAACAGAAACCAACTGCTGGTGGCATAGTAAAAAAAAAGCCTATTTCTAATTCAGTTGCCTGTATTTAGAAGCAGCAGGAGCGCTGATTGACCTGACCTGTAAACACAAAAAGGCTGGCCAATCAAAGCTCCTGTTGCATGGCACACTCCAGTGAAATGGTGCCAAAAGCTGTAGATAATAGACCTGTTTGTGATGCAGATTAAGGCTGCCGAAGAGCCACCAGAGGTCATGATCTTAGAAGGGGACACTGAAGATGTCAACATAAATGACGTCCTTCCCGAGCCCTCTGAAACCAACACAGTGGCGACAGAAGAACATGACGTCATTATTCTGGAGGACAGTGCAGTTATGTCTCTTGCTCCTGTCCTGACGACTAGTGCACCCGAAGCTGGCAGTGAGTGTTGTCCTAAACACAAGCATGCATTCACACAAGCAATTTATCTCCCATATAGTGCCTTTTCTTCTTCACATCCACCTTTTCTATTATTATGTTCCTTTTTTGTGTCAGTTTACATGAATATTTACAGAGGTAGCACCATTTATAAAAGCTACTACTTTATGTTTGCACTGAAGTTACTTCTTAGGAAAGTCAAGGATGATGTGAGTTGAGTTTCTTATCTTCTTTGTTTTTCCAGGCATTGAGGAGGAGGGTCTGTTGCTGGAGGATACTGTACAGACTCTTGCTACAGACCCCCCCCTACCAGAGGAGCTCCCAGCTGAGCTTACCTCCCCTGAGCTGCCAGATGATGCCACACTGCCTGAACCACCTGTGGAGGTCGAGGGCCTCTGGTTCAGGCACAGACGACCTGGGGGTCGTGCTCCAACCACCTACACCCGCAGCAGCAGAAGAAGAAGAAGTGTCTCTTGAGGAGACTGGTTCAGAAGATAGGCTGATAATAACAGATGTCACCATACATGCCAATTCCATCCCTGAACCTGAAACACAGGAAGTTGAGGCTGCTGCAGTGGAAGAAGAACCTACCACTGCAACTCTGGAAGAGGAACATCTGGATGAGGTTGTTGTAGATGAAGTACAGATTCAAGAGGAGCTTGAGATCTCCACAATCGCAACTGAGACCACAGAAGAAAAAGGCCTACCTGCCCCAGTCCCACCTCCCTGATGCTGTAGATATAGCGAGTGAAGTATCAGAGCCAGAGGCAGCAGAAAAGGGTCCTGTTGGTGAAGAGCTGGTGGAGGGCGCAGAAGAAGAGTCCAACCTTACAGGTGTTCCATCTGCAGATAAGGAAGTTAACCCCGAAGAGCCTGCAGAAGACGGAGACATTAACGTGGTGTTGACCTATCCAGAGGAACCCATACTTGAAGAGGGTGGCATGGAGGAAGTAACAGAGAGTGAGGGACTAGAGGTAAAGGAAAGTCCACCAGAAATCCCAGCAGTGGAGGAAGAGGCCCCAGATGCTCCAGAGATTTCTACAGAGGATCTTACAGAGGATGAGATCTTACTGGTCAACAACGACGGGGAACCAGAGCCTCCAGCGACAGATTTCCTGACCCCTGCCCAACCGACCGCCCTCTCTCCAGAGAGGGAGTCGCCTTTCACCCGCATCTCTGATGCTGACCCTGTCTCTGAAGGGCAACCTGACATCATCATCCCTTCAGTGGTGGAGGTAACAGAAAATAATTTATGTTAATGTTGCAAAGTCAAATGGAATTTTAATTCTCTCAGGAAATATAATGATTCAGCAGCTAATGTGTAGAAATTTAAAAACAGCATAAAAAGATTTTTTGCACAAATTTATGGATGCTGCGTCTGTCAACTTCGGTGGTGCTCTACCTGTTGGAGCATGTAATATCAAACGTTAACGTAGCATTGGTTATGTACTGTGATTTAAGCTGCCTTTCACATTCAGCATGTGGAAGAACCTAATGTGCAGTCTTCCACACGAAAAGTGGAAGCTAGTTCGCCTAACTTACTACTGTTAGCACTGATTCCAACTAGATGTTACTTTTCGTTTATGTTATTTTTAAACACCTGTTGAGTGATCTGCATCTCAGTGCTGTGTTTGTCCTACATTACACAAAGGAGGGGCTTTATTTTTCTGTCACTGGTCCTGATGGTGATGGCAAATGACCATAGTGTAAAAAGTCACAGCAACAAGAGGCCCGATAACCTCATCTTATGTTATCCTAGATTAGACTCAACTTGTATGGAGTACTCAAATCACAGATGAGGCTAACAACGGCCCCTAGCTGGCTGATGGCCAATTGCAACTGAAATGGTATTATATGTATTAACAATTTTTTGTTCATGCCTACACATGTATGATACATACATGTAGAGTGCACTCTCTGAGAGAAGAACAATTCTTCTTTTTGTTAATTGCAATTTTGACCACATAATACACAAGTCAAAATAAGCAACAAGGATATATACTGATTTATTACCAAACATTTTGACAGGAACAGGAATCAGGCAATATCCAAAATCCAAACTAAAAACAAAACTAGGCACAGGAGAAGGCAGGCACGCTTGACAAATAACAAAAGACAACCTTGACAAATGACAAGGGAACAACAGTGACTTAAATTTAGTCAGCGACAGACACAGGTGGAACACAGGAGAGCGAAACACTCAAACAGATGCTAAAAAACAAGGGCAGGCAGTGATCTGGTCTGAAATGAAACGAGAGGAGAGGTGAGTCACAAAGTAAAACAGGAAACACAGAACAAATGAATGAACAAATAACACAGGACAAAACAACAAAGAAAACAAGAAGAAAAGAGACAGGAAGTGAACGAAAACACACACAAGAGGAAGGGTTTATTAAAATAAAACAGGGAATAACAACACTGATAAAAAGTCTCACCTCAAATCAATCATCAGTCCACTTTTTTGTCCTCCAGATCCAGACCCCTAACGAAGGCATGGATGATGCTACCATTGGGGACCAGGACTATGACGTGATTCATTATAGTTATGATTTGATTAACCACACAGAGGACGGCAGCACTAGCTTTCCATTTGTTGTGACACACGGCACAGACCAAGCCAGTATCGCCATGCCTGTGAACCCTGGACGAGCACTGATGGTGTTCTTCAGCCTGAGGGTGACCAACATGATCTTCTCCGATGACCTCTTTAACAAGAGCTCCCCAGAATACAAAGCTTTGGAGCAACGCTTCATAGAGCTGGTAAACCTCTCACGTTTAATGCGCTTGTGATTATCAGTATTCCCACTGTTGTGGCCTAGCCACTGGTTTGTAACATCAAACTGTATATTTTTCAAAATCTTCCCAGCTTGTGCCCTACCTGCAGTCCAACCTTACCAACTTTGAGAACCTGGAGATCCTGAACTTCAGGAACGGGAGCATTGTGGTCAACAGCCGGATGAAATTTGGCAAGCCTGTGCCGCAAAGCGTCACCACCACTGTCTATCTGATCCTGGAGGACTTCTGTAACACAGCTTACCAGACCATGAACCTGGCCATCGATAAGTACTCACTGGACGTTGAGTCGGGTGGGTTCTCACTGATGTACACTGCAGTTTTTTTACGAGTGCTTTGATCATGACAATAACTGTGATAGCATCAAATGTTTGAAGCTTATGTCAGATGTTGCTTAAAGGAATTATTAGACATTTTGCTTTCTTGCTGAGAGTTACATTACAGCCGACCAGCACCTATAAAGCTCTGGAGGAAGTCACTGCGCCTGGCCAAGAAATAGTACTGTCCCTAACCTCCTGTAAAAGCACTAATAAAACAAACAAGATATAATGTGTTAATTAGCTTTAGAGGTGCTGGTAGGTTACTGGTTACTGGTTGGGGTCTAGCTGTAGCCCCCTGTTTTGAGTCTTTATGCTAAACTAAGGTTACTGGCTGGTGGCTCCAGCTTTATATTGAAAGTACAGATATGAGAGTGGCTTCATTCTTCTCATCTCACAGTCTCAGTTGTTTTTAAGATAACTGCATCCAGTTAGTATTGAAGAACGTATTAGTGTATGAATAGGCAAGCAGGTGTTGAATCCCTGTCGTGAGGTGAATGTCACAGTCAGCTGGGATGAGATAATTAGGGCTTCCCTGGACAACAGCCAAATTAACATATATCATTAGCTGCACTTTGACTTACTGTTTGCAGCTTTGGTTTTACACAGTGTGTGTGTGTGTGTGTGTGTGTGTTATAATGTCTTTATTCTTATAATGTGATTGAATGACCCAGCACGACCTATTCTGCACACTTTTTATTTCCTCAGGAGAACAGTCAGTTTGTACTTGGCCATTTTGATATCAATGATTCATGCTTGTGTTTAGAAACATAACTAAACTGTCAAAATCTGTCACAGCCAACATATAGTAAAATGCTGTATCCCTGCATGCACTTCGGCTTTTAGAAATGGAGGAAGAATAGCCTTCATCTAAAATCATTATTGTTATTACTATTATTTTTAACATATCTGAAGTGTTTATAATCTTGTGCATAACATTAGAATATTATTTTGTTGAATTTGTTGAATTTTTAGTTTATTTTTGGTCTAATTTGAAAGAATAGTTCAACATTTTGAGAAATACACTTATTTGGTTTCTAAATTTACTTGCTTTGCATAAGGACTGGAAACAGCTAGCATGGATTTGTCCAAAAGTAAGAAATAAGACTACCAGAAATTAACATATTATTTCTCATTTGTTTTATCTATACAAAACCCTAAGAGTAAAAACACAATATACTGAGCTTTAGGTGTTATTAGGTGGATTTAGTTAGCTTCTGACAGAGCCAGGCTAGCTGTTTATCCAGTCTGTGTGCTAAGCTAAGCTTACCAGCTGCTGGCTGTAGTTTCATATTTATCATACAGACGTGAGAGTGGTCTCAACCTTCTAATCGACCCCTCAGCAAGTGAGCGCATTTCCCAAAATGTCCTTTTTTAAAATGGCCTTCATGTCATTTAGTAATGAAATGTAGGCATGCTGATAATAATACCACTTCTGGTTCTTTCATTTCCAGGGGACAAGGCAGACCCCTGTAAGTTCCAGGCCTGTAACGAGTATGCAGAGTGTAAAGTGAACAAGTGGTCAGGGGAGGCGGAGTGTGTCTGTAATGCTGGCTACTTCAGTGTGGACAGCCTGCCTTGTCAGAGTATCTGTGACCTGCAGACCGACTTTTGCCTCAATGACGGAAAATGTGACATCATCCCCGGCCAGGGAGCCATCTGCAGGTGGGTGGGGATTAGGGGAAGTGATCTTTATGCTTGTGGCAAGGAGTGTCTGAGTTTGCAGGTTTGAGAGGCCAGTGCTTCATCACAGAAAACTAAACAGCTTTTCAAATACATTGTTAGAGTTCAAGCAGGAGGCCAGATTTTTAGCTTCTAGTTTTCTAGTTTGTTTGTGTTACTTGATGTAGAGATGAGAGATGTCCAATGTACTCATTTGTTAAATGGCATTTTTGAAATTTGGGTCCTCATACTTTGGAGGTAAAAATGTCTTCTACATGAAATAAATATTTTGTTTTGCACCTTAGTTGGCTACAAACACCAATTAACTTTGGCCTAGATCAATTTAAAGCAAATCAGTTTCTCAACTCTGAGTCAATTTTGAATCAGCACTCCAACCTTTGGCAGTTTACCATAGTTTTTAATTGTGCCTTCTGACAGTAAATTTACTGTACATAAATTAAAACAATGATTACCGTTTGTGGATAAATGATGATGAAAAGATTTTATTAACATTGTGGTCAATTTTTTCAGCTCCAGGATGCATATTATCACATTTTTGTCCAGTGAAATATTTTTAATTATGTGGTGTTACAGCCCTGTTCTCTAACAGGCCTTACAAAAATGTTGCTGTATGTGTTTCTGTAAGCGTTTATATCTAAACATGATTGTGCATGTGTTGCCATGACCAAACAGACATTTGAATCAGTTAATGTGTGTAAGATGCGTAAGATGATATGCCAATAAACCAAATCAGTGACAGAAACATGTCCTCTGTGGTGCACATTAAAATGAATGATTCAAAACAGACAGAATAGAGAGTGTCTGCCAAGATGAGGGCTAACCTTTGTTTCACACCCACCACCACATCATAAAACATGCAGGCAGCTCCAGATGCTGTTGGACTGTTGTTTACTTCACGCCATCAAGTATTGCATTGCTCCATGGAGACTATTCCACTTATTCCAAAACAAGGCATTAATGATTTAATGACACATACAGAGCCTTATAATTGTAGTCATGTTAAGAACTATGTCAAGACAAAATACGAACATGGCTGAGGATTCAGTCATTAATTTTTACATCCTTTTAATCATTCAAAACAGAATACATGTATGTTCTGTAACATTTTGTTCGTCTGCTGTTCCCTGAATGCTTAGAGATTTAGTTTAACAATGTCTATTTTGGGTCATTGTACCAAATTACTGATCCAATTATTTTACAACATTGCTGACAAATCTTGCACCGTCATTTCAGGTGCCGCGTTGGGGAGAACTGGTGGTACAGAGGAGAGCACTGTGAGGAGTATGTATCGGAGCCACTGGTGGTCGGCATTGCGATTGCCTCCGTGGCTGGATTCCTGTTGGTGGCCTCGGGAGTCATCTTCTTCCTCGCCAGGACGTTACGGGATCAGTATGACAAGGATGAGTCCGAGGACCCCATACGGTGAGGAAAACAACTCATACCATATGGTCAAACTTTTCAGCATTTACCCTTGATAATGTGAGAGAAAAACAAATTATATCTAGCATCTAATCCATACCATGCCACTTTTTTTAACTGCACAGAGAACACAACAGAAAGCTTTATTTGAGGAGCATATGAGTATATTTCAACATGAGGGATGGAGGGCGTGACTTTAATCTGCCATATACTATACATTATTCATTCTCACTGTCTCTTTCCATAGTTTTTAGATATAGATATAGTTATCAGTGAGTGACACAGTGGTGAATAAAAAGGAGTGTAATTGGGCTGACATTTCTCTTCTTTTCACTCTGGAGAACCTGCTTCCATCTTTATAAACTTGTCTTGTGTGACCATTCTTTGTAAAGACCTACTGTATTTTAACTTCCAGTGGGGATCTTAAGTGTTTCCAAAGATAACAAATATGTCAGGGTGTGTACAAAAATAATGCACAAGAGACTCATTATATTTCTGTGTGATGTAAAGATGCATCAAAAAAACCCATGTTGTTTGAATAAAGGTGCAATTAAGTTGTGAAACAAGGAGAAACAGAAAATATATATATGGGATCCTGACTCTGACACACTGTATACGTATATGATACGGATCAAGCTTAAGGGAAAAATCCAGACTTTATTGAGTTAATATCCTATATACATAAAACCTGCATCCAGCTGTTCAGTAAAATGAACAGTATATGATGAATTAACCAGTAAGGTTATTTTTTATCAGCATGCTGTTTTCTGAAAATAAACAAACCTTACTTTTCCGTTTGATAGTGAACAGAAACACTTACATTTAGTGTGTTTGAAGTTTTCTCTACTCCACATAATAGTTTTTAGATTAAAGGAGCCTGGTTACTTTCTTGAGGGAACAGAATAAGTTGGGACGTCCCATGACTGTGTCCTCAGTTAGACAGCCAAAATTATCCACTGCGCTATCTCTTTACTCCTCTAGGCTTACAGCAGTGTGGCCACCCCACTCCCTTTGCCAGGGTGTCTCTTTCCTCCTGTCCTGCTTTGATCCTTCCTTTACTTTTTCTCTCTTTTGTGTGTGTGTGTATGTGTCTGGCATGGTTTCCAGAGCAGCCTGTGGAGAAACCTGTGTTAACCTCAGCCAATTAACTGATCAGATATGGTGCTGATTACCAAAAAGCCTTAAACACTTAACACAATAGGCTTTCTGATAGGCAGTCTGGGGTCCGACTTAAGCAGAAACGTAAGGACTTATTAAGGTTAATCAACGCCGAAGTCTTATTCACTACAGCTCAATTTTCTTATCAGGTTTCCTAGATGATGTGTTGCTTTGTTCACCACCAGCCTCTACATTCTGACTGATTTCTCTGTTTGTGTGTTGTTTCAAAGGCGAGCAGAGAGTCTCCCATCTCTGGAGAGGGCAACCAAGTACAACCCCATGTATGAGAGCGAGGCCACCACAGGTTACAGCCACTACTACCGCCGCTATCCGGAAGCTCCTGTGTACAGCAGTGCTGAGGCCTCCACTGACTTCAGCAGCGAGGAGATACGACACATCTATGAGAACAGTGAACTGACCAAGGAGGTGTGTGTGTGTGTGTGTGGGCTGCTAGCCACGGGTTGATTTTATTTATGTTTTTTGTACCCCATTATCTTTACTATCCAGCAGCAGTCATACTAAGTTGTTGCGCCATGGTACTGATAAAATCATTATTTTGTAATCATGACATTGTCTGACAAAATCAGAGTGAATGCATGTTAATGACTACAGCTGTGTTGTGTGACCAGGTATATTGACATTTAAAATAAGTGACCAGAGAGAAAGTAAGAGGCAACTAATGGTTGTCTGCTTAACTTTACTGCCACACAGCCCCCAACCCTCACTGGGCTGGATTACATCATAGTTTTGCAAAAGCTCTGGTTTTCCTTGTACACATTAAACCACCAAGCTGGCGTTTTAAGATTTATACTTTTATGCAATTTTGGAAAAAAATCTGTTTTTAGGGCAGTATTGGTCTGAAATTGAGAAAAAAAGATGGGTTTTTAAATTTCACCACCTGGCTTTTGCGCCCATAAATACATTAATAGGTCGTTGTAGTAAATGCCATGTTTTGATTGAGCAGCCTGTTCAGTTTACTGTTTATCTCCCTGTGATGTAATTTTTCTTCCTGACTGATATCATGTGTTTCTGCAGGAAATCCAAGACAGGATACGCATTATTGAGCTCTACGCTAAGGACCGGCAGTTTGCAGATTTTGTACGGCAGCATCAAGCGTGAGTGCCTCTCTTGTTTTTCCTGTTATACTGTAATGAGATAAACACATGGGCCAAACAAACCAGGATATGAGGAAAAGGGGAAGTGAGATTGAGGTACAGGAGTCTGGCAAGATTGTGCTGAAAAAAAGATTAGTTTGTTAGTTGGAGGAGATGAAGAGTTCAAGCCATGCCAAACCAGTGTGGAAACAGATTTAATCAGTTTTAAATGTTCACCAGCCAGGCCTGGAGCTGATATAGTTAGACAGAAACTATTAGGAGACACAGACATTCCTTCATCTGCCAACAGTCTGCCAGTAGCAATGTGTCTGTGTGTAACAGTAGTGAGAGGTTTGAAGTCGTATCTGGCTGTAAATCGCCGCTCAATGTGCCATAGAGATCTTTCATGCCAGATAAACCTGACTTAAGTTGTGGGCATGTATTCGTGCAGTAAATAATATATCTAATTTACCTAGAAAGATGAAATCTAATGGGTTTGTGTATGTGTTTTTATGTGTTGCAGCGTCTTGGATACCCGCATAGAGAGCTCCTCTACCCAGGCATGAATCTCTCCGGTGAACAACAAGGTATTTTTTCTTCATTTGAAGACTGTGTAGCGGGATCTTAGTTTCAATTACAATTCCTCTCAAGATAAAAAATACCAGCTACAGTCAGAGTAATTTAAAGCCAATAATAAATGTATTACCAACGGTCCTATACATTTTATAACCAATACCTAGACAAATAGACAGTTTTTGGAAAAGGGACACCTTTGATGCATATGGACCAAAGGACAAAAGGGAGTTCCACTCTTGCAGTTTTGAACAAATAACAACAAATAAACTATTTATAACATGGAAAGATAATGAAATGTTCATGTTAATGCAATAATTAGCAACCCCACACTATCTAACACATTTTTAACAATTTTTAACAATAACCCATGGGTTATTTGTTTATTATTACAGTTGTGGAATGAAATATCTAAAACATTTTATTTGACGAAGGTAGCAAATTTTTTTAAATGGTTTGTATATGAGTCATGTTTTCTAAGCATGACAGAAGATTCAAAGGAATAGTTTGAACTTTTGGAAAATAATTTTCTTGCGAGAGTTAGATGAAAGATGTATGTTTCTGAAAGCTGCAGATGGTTAGCTTAGCTTAGCATAAAGTCTGGAAGCAGGTAGCCTGGCTCTGTTTAAAAGTGACAAAATAGGCACCTCTACCGGCACCTCTAAAGTTGATAAATTAACACTTTAACATCTTGTTTTTTTAATCTGTTCAAAAACCAAAATGTTTAAACATTATGTTGCTGTTTTATGGGTTATTCAAGCAAATAAGCATATTTCCTAAAAAGTCAAACTATTCTTTAAAAGCTTGGATCAATTTATGGGCTCAAAACATATGCATCAGCCTGCCTTAAATCGAGGTAGAATAAGACAAGAGCTTCAATTCAGTTTTCTGAATCAAGACCAATATAGACACTGACAAGTGAGAAATTATGTTGGCAAAAAACTTTGGTATGTTTAATACATGTTTTAAAAAAGCGTGCACCCTGCATACTGGCACACTTTTCCTGCTGCACAGAAACCTCTGCGTTAGAAAAGCGAAGCTCCCTGACAAGACGCTCCACTTGCTCACCACAGTGTTTAGAATCTGGGCTGTTTAAGACGGACAGCCATTCAGCATGCTGCTCTTTACTTCACCTACCAACGGCCCCTCTCTGTGTTTCCTTATGTCCCTGCCTGTGTGGGCAGAAGTTTTGACTGTTCGTCCCCCTTCCTTGGTGCCTTCTCTTGACTGGGTGAGCTGGCTGTGACATCAAGGGACATGCTTGCTGCTCATCTACTGGACGTCTTCCTTTGGGGAAAACTGGACTGCATCCTCTTACTTGAAATGTTATCAGACTCAGCCCAATCCTCTCTGCAGTAGTACTTTTGGTTAGTGTTATAATCGGTTTTGTTTAATCATGTCATACTATCTGTCCATTCATAAAGTGAAGAACTTAAAACTGTGTATACATATATATATATATATATATATATATATATATAGTGTTACTGTTAGGTGGTTTACCAGATAATATTCTTTCTTCACTCTACAAAGCTCAAATGTACTCTTTAGGCCTTCCCAGAGAGACACTGAGAAAGCTTTTTTAGTCAATGGTGCTAACTTAATTTAAAATACTCTTTGAAATCTAGTGGTCTATATAACTAATTTTTACAATTTAAAAGCAACTTCAGTGAATAAACTGTCTATATACTACTGAAGATTAAAGGAATAGTTCAAGGAAATACACTCCCTTTCTGGCAGAGAGTTAAATGAGAAGATCGATTGAACTCTCACATCTGTCTGTTAAATATGAAGCTATAGCCAGCAGCCGTTAGTTTAGCTTGACACAAAGACTGGAAACAAGGGGAAACAGCTAGCCTGACTCTGTCTAAATCTGCCTACGTAAATATACATAGACAGACATAACGTGTTAATCAGTTAGCTTTAGAAGTGTTAGTTAGTTAGGTGGATTTCGTAAGTGCCAGGCTAGCTGTACTCTCGTGTTTCAAGTCTTAAGCTAAGCTAAATGGCTGCTTTCTGTAGCCTTATGTTTACTGTACACACATGAATGTGGAATCATTCTTTCTATCTAAATCCCTGCCAGAAAGCAAATAAGCATATTTTCAAAATGTCAAACTATTCCTTTAAGGTGACCAAATACAGTGTTAGTGTATGTAATATTACTGTTCGTCAATGTAAAAGCAGTCTTTTACAATCTGAACATTGTGTAACGTCATTCCAGCTATTTTTCCTCTGGCAGGTAATATTTCTGCCTTTTTAACCACTCCATCCATCAGAAGCTTTGGTGTATGTTTGTGAATGTATGATGTGGTAGACATGAGAATGTGAAAAAAGTGGGGATGGGAGAGAAAGTCGGGGAACATGAACCCTCTATAGCTCTGGAATCCAGAAATAAGTGAAAACACGTTTCAGTGGAAAAATGAAAGTGGCCCAGGGATTTGATTAAATGTTCTGTTTTCAGATGTCATGTGTAATGCAACTGAGAGAACAATAGCACCAGGAAAAGCAAGCTGATAAACAACACGCGTTTTTTGCAGCTGCGTCTCTGCTGACAAAAGATCAGCCATTCTTTAAAAATGATCTGCCCGATGACTTGGCCACTATCCTGCTCCTCAATCTGAAACCTTCTAACAGACTAATTCTTCTTTGATTTTCTGTTCCTCCCTGGACTTGTTGAGCTTGATCCTTGTTGTCCCTTGAGTGGACCCTCACAGCTGCAGCTAATTACGTTTTATAGGTTTTCCTTAGTTGTTGACCTGTGTGAATGTCTTAGGAGGTTAGAATCGGACACATAGATCATGTCTTAGCTTCTTGTTTACATTACATGCTTCTAGAGGTCTACACAAGTGAAAAACACTGGGGAAGCAGACTCTTGTGACAGTGTCATGCCTTTTGCAATCTGCATATTCAATTTTATTTTTATATGCATGCTTTTTTGTGTGTCTGCATACAGTTTTTGTCAACGTCCTCCATCTGCTACCTGAACAAACAGCCAATCATCCCACACAGTGTTCTGTCTTGTAAATAACATTGAAGATATTAACAGTTGTAGGATGTAAATTATGTGTCTCTAAAATGTTTCAATATATGAATATATTCTTTTTATACTGTTAACTGTTTCACCACCATACTGTGCAGCTCTGTAAATTACTAATAAAAAAATTGTAACATGTATAAAAATAAAATGTTTTATATAAAATGGAGACTTTGGTCCAGTGGTGAAATGTAACTTAATACATTTAGTTGAGCACTGTACATTTTTGAGGTACTTCCATGTTATGCAACTCAGATTAACATTTTATTTATAAAAAATACATGATCATACAGTAAAATCTAATCTCATAAACACTGACCAGCTACAACAAATTGGCGCTTACATGTTAATGCATCTGTAGAAATAATCCATCAATGTTTATTAAAATAGATATAATAATATAATGCTCCACGGAGATATTCTACAAAATGAGAAATATTATTCTCATGTCTGTATGCTGAATAGTAAGCTGCCATCAACAGCCAGTTAGCTTAGCTTAGCATAAATGCTGGAAACGGGGAAACAGCTAGCCTGACTCTGTCCAAAGGTATCAAAATCTACCTACTGGCACTGTTTCCAAAACAAACATCAAGGACCACCCTTTTCCACCTACATAATATTGCAAAAATCACATATTGTCTCAAAACAATGCAGAATAACTAGTCCACACACTTATTACTTCTAGGCTGGATAATTGCTATTCCATATCATCAGGCCACCTGAAAAAGTCCCTTAAGACTCTCCAGTTGATCCAGAATTCTGCAACATGCGTACTGGCAAGAACCAGGAAAAGAGATCATATTTCTCCCGTATTGGCTTCTCTGCACTGTCTCTAGAATAGAGTTTAAAAACTTCTGCTCACATTCAAAGTCCTTAATGGTCAGGTACCATCATATCTTAAAGAGCTCATAGTACATTATTATGCTACTAGAACACTGCATGACCAGAATGCAGGGTTAAATGCAATTTATACATCTGCGTCAAATCGACGGCGTAGGTGACAGCGTAGGCTACGGGGCTACGCAGAGGCTACGCCGTCGCCTGACACGCACCTCCTCAAAAATGTAACTACACGTCGACTCGACACGGACCGTAAACTCTGTGATTGGTCGGCTGGGTAGCCTCGCAATGCCTCCGAACCGACCGGAAGTATCCCGAGCTTTAAAGTAACATTTACTAGCGGCCAAAACGGCGGCTGTAACACAATGAATCAATATTTGACCGTCGCAACCTGTGCAAAATGACTCGTTTCGCTATCAGAATGTGATCCATTCGGTCGGTAACATTTGAAAAGGCTACACCAGCCACACGTTTACAATTTAAGCCCAATTTACATTAGCGGCGCGCTAAACCGGAAGTTAGCCTGCTCGGCCGGCAAAAGTCAATACACTGGACGCTGTAGCGCTACTGCTGACTAGCGTGTGGGGGTGTAATTGCAGAATGACGCACAGACCTACGCACAAGTATAAATGCATGGCTACATGCATAGCCTTTGGAGTCGCTGATATATTGGCTTATTCTACTATGCCGTTGGACCAGTTGTTTAGCTGCTCCAGGATAATCCAAAAAGTAGATTAGCTTCAGCAGGTAAGGATTATTGGCCCGTCTGTGGCCATGATAGTTTCTAAAAGTGTGCATACCAGTAATCAACCTGCGTCACACACTTTTACACTTGTGCCAGGATTTGGCTGTGCATCAATAAAGGATATTGTGTAAACATAGCATTGGCCTGATGAAACAATACAATTATAAACTGTGTTATATAAAAAATGGATCCTGCTGAGTTCCTTTTTTGGTCATGTTTTAGTATTTGTATTGTTCCAGAGGTTTGGATTATATGGTGTGGTTTGGTGAGGTCAGAGGGTGTGTTGGTGGCCAGTGATTGCGTCATTTAATTTGAAATTAAAAAATCCCCATGGTGTTGGAGCAGGAGGGTGTGCCTGCTTTATGTCTCATCCTGTTAAAAGTCAATGAAGGATGAAGAGGGACAACAGCAACAAGTGGTTCTTTACTGGCTCAGTTTGGATCTTTCATCCACATGAAGTCAGTGTCACTTCAGTGCAGGACAGTGGGTGAAAAATGGAAAACACCAAGTGAGGGAGGAAGTAATTACTGCATGCTGACAGACCTGTAATGTTTTCATGCTGGAGGATAATTTGGGTAGAGGAGTGAGGAACAGATGAAAAGTTCCAGTGGTGGAGGATGTTCCTGGTCAAATGGGTCATTGTTTGCCCATTATTTGAAAAGCATCTGTCTTCAGCTTCAGACTTCCGCTCAAGTTACTGGGTGTGCGTGTGCAACGTGTTTGTAGAAAAAACTGAAAACTTATTTAACTTGACATTTGCGTTACTCACAGCTAACAGCTGTATGAATTATATTAGTAGTAATAATAAGTTTTAAATTGTTATTTTTTCCTATTTTCTTATGACCCTGTGGTGGTTCTGGGTGGGGGCTACAGGCTGGCAGTGCCCCTGTTGCAACAAGCGTAGACGCCTTGTCACCCCCGTAAAATGTAGTGACGTTTTCTCTCAGAAACCAAGGAAAGGCATGACTCTCTCACTATACAAAATAAAATTCACCGTGATATTAACTAAAAAAGATATGGGCTGCAATTAACGATTATTTGCATTATTCATTAATCTGCTGATTATTTTTTTCAGTTAAATGTATTGTTTAGTTTATAAAATGTAAAAGAAATTGGTAACCAACAGTAACAAGCTAAAGATGTTTGACTTACTGTCTCATATGGCAAAGAATATCACAAAGAAAAGTTGCAAGTCCTCATATTTGAGAAGCTGATATGAGACAGCTCATTTTCAAAAAATTTTTAGATTCAGTGTTTTTGTTTTAAAAATGACTGAAACAATTAGTCATTTATAAAAATAGTCCCATAGACATGGTGGGCATGGTTTGTCGTTACTAAAGCTATTGGGGATATAAATAATGCCGAAATAAATTAACAAAAAACCCATACAAACTTTATTCGCTTTTTTTCGTTTAAATTATCTTTATTTTCGCTGTAACGTTCCCTGCATTATGGTGCGTTCCATTTGACATGGGAAGTCGGAATTTCCGAGTTCAAAGGTCAAAATTTCAAAGGGAATGCCCCCTTAAGAATCGCACTACCCCGACTTCGTGATCCAAGATGACTGTCGGGGTATCAACCGCTCTAGTTTATATTGTTTATTAGCAGTGGTTGTGTCGTATTTTCCGACCATGTTCCACCATACATGCTGCGTTCCACCTCGGAAGTCGGAGGTCGGAGCTGGAAATGACGTCACACCCGAGTTGACGGCGTTCCAGTTAACAAGTCAGAAAACCTCGCTCGGCCAGTTGTTTGTTGGTGCGTTCCAGTTGACATGGGAAGTCGGAATTTCCGAGTTCAAAGGTCAAAATTTCAAAAGGAACGCCCCCTTAAGTCGGAATCCCGATTTGGGAAGTCGGGAGAACCGCACTACCCCGACTTCGTGATCCAAGATGGCTGTCGGGGTATCAACAGTTAGTTAAAGCTGTAGTTTATACTGTTTATTAGCATTTCTGTGTAGTTGTGACTGGTATAAATGTACACAAAGTGCTGTCCAGCAGCTGTCTGTGGACGTGTTGCTACAGTGTTTAGTGTGAGTAAATGCGTTTTTTTAATCAACCGGCGTATCAATAGCTAACCTAGCTAACCTCTCAGCAAAGCACAACAATAAATATTCAGAACAGAACACTTATATTCACAGCACAGCTCTCTCAAAAGAATGTTGTTTTAGCATAGACGTCTGGGCTATGGTTCGACGTCTATTAGTCGTCTTTTAAATGTGAAATTGCTTGCTGGGACCTGAAGGGGGCACTTACAGCCTGTGGATACCCTAAATGGACCTTTGTGAAAACAGCCACAAGATCCAAGAAGAACAAAACTACAGGGGAGGAGGAAAAGAAGGTCAAACGCAACAACATTGTGATTCCATACATGTCTGGAGTATCAGAGGAACTCAGGAGGATTTTCAACAAACACAGCATCCCTGTGTTTTTTTTAAACCCAAGAACACACTAAGACAAATGCTGGTACACCCCAAAGACTGCACAACCAAACACAAGAAAAGCAATCTAGTGTATGTGGTCCAATGCAGTGAGGAATGCACAGACCTGTATATTGGGGAGACTAAACAACCACTACACAAACGCATGGCTCAACACAGAAGGGCCAACTCCTCAGGTCAAGACTCTGCAGTCTACTTACATATGAAAGACAACAAACACTCGTTTGAGGACCACCAGGTGCACATTTTAGACAGAGAAGATGGATGGTTTGAAAGACGTGTCAAAGGAAGCCATCTGCCCCCGGGTTGAGAAGCCGTGGCTGAATAGAGAAGGGGGTCTACGCCACCACTAATCCCCCACTTACAATGCAGTCCTTTCATCACTTCCCAGGAAACTTAACAAATGTAACCTACTGGCCTCAGGTGAGGATGCCAACGGTGGTGGTTCAGTCTTGGCCTCGAGTAGTCCTAACGACCATAACGACTGTGTTACAACAGCCAGGAACACTAAGATCCTGGCAAACGACCCCACTGAGGTTAAATAGCTGAGTTTCCCTACCAGTCAGTCAGAACTGAAAAAGTCCTTTGGATGAGGGACGAAACGTCTTCCAGTATCTTCAACCAAGTCCAGTTGCCCTTGATTTTAACCTTATTTGGATATCTATGACATCGGCCCCTTTTTCATATTTTTATTAAATGAGTGAAACAGCGCCCTCTGGATTGTAACGGCTGGTACGTGTTGGCCAGTGTGTGTGATCAATAAAGATATTGCAGACTTACCTGAGTCTATCGATGTGACAGGTGAAGGTGATTAGGTCAGATGCTGTAACTGTCAGGTCGCTGCGAAATAGTGAATGGACAAGTCGCTGGATGAGAAACTCTGATTTGTGAAGCCAGTTACAACTGTGGCTTCATAACTAATAGTAGAAAGTAATAACTTTATTTAACGTTATATGAAATAACCGGCAGAGTTAGCTTGTTTTCCAGATGTGCTAATCATTTCAGCTGGTGGTGTTGGTGTTGTAAGGCTAGTAGCGTTACGCTAGCAGCAATGTAGTTTCAGTCAGTCCAACAAAATGATCGACAACAAGGGCGGTGGGACATTAAATATGACATGGACACCGCGAGGAAGGTCCTCGACATCAAATAGTGAGTGAGATATACCCTCTCTGCATAAATTGGTCATTAAATGTGATCTGAAGTCACAACAATAGACAAACACAGTCTGCTTTAACTAACTCCACACACAATTATATCTTTTACATTGCTCTTACAGAGTATTTTTACACTGTGAAATTGCTACTTTTACTTTGGTAAGTAAAATATCTCAGTACTTCTTCCACAACTGATAACTTTGCTAATATGGTTAAAGTAGAATACTGAGGCCTTTTAATGTACAGTAAATTATGTTATACTAAGTGGAGTTACTTATGTTTGGGCCAGTTCAGCAAAAAATAAATTTGGAATATTTGATGCTTTTATCTATTCTATAACATGTAAACTAAGTATATTGGATTTTGGACTGTTGGGTTGGACAAAATCAGACATTTGAAGACATGTTGGACTCTGACAGACGATTATAAGCAGATTAATCGACACTCTGAGCCTTAATTGTCTGTAATATGTATATAACTGATGTAAACAATTCATCAGTTTAAAAATGATTATAACACTGATTAAAAACAATGGTTAAGTATGTTTTGTGAGCTGTTAAAAAGGGCCTTGGATCTCCAAAACCCAATCGGAACATTAGGGGTAACAGAATATACAGTAATATAGTTTTTTGTGTGTCTTTCTAATTCTAAGCTAATAAGAGTCACAGACCTAGTTGGCATCTTCATCATGTTAAAGGGGAACAGGAGCAAGGATGGTAAAGGATCACCTCATTGATTAATTTAGTCACAATTATATTTGAAATCTGTGTCTGTAATTGATGATAAATACTGATACAGTTTGGCATTTTTTGAGCTTTATTCCGTATGCATATCAGTATTCACAACAGTTTCTTTAGCAATTTGTGGGTTTCTGTGGGTATTAATATTAGAAATATCACGTCTTAAATGAGGTCTCTTAAGTTACAAAAATGATTTATGTTTGAAAGGAAACTTAAGAGAAATTTTTGTTGTGGCATATATTCACAGTTTACAGGAAGTCTGTGCTGTGTTTCCTGTGCAACCACAAGGGGGCCATGTACCTGTTTGTCTGCATTTAGATGACAGCTACATTAATCTCAATTTTGAGTTAAAATTGATTGTGCAACACAGCAGGGCATTGAAGGCATTATTTAAAAAGAAACCAAGACTTTTTAGGGCTATTTTTTCCCTTGGTGTGTTTCATGTGTGTGCATTTGTGCAACAGAGAGCTTATGTCTCAAGTCTAGAAACCAGTGTAGTTTGGATACCCTCCAAGTGCTGTTTGAGATGAATGAACCTATGACATCTGATTGCATAGGAGTACCACTTTTTGGAAAGACACTGTCATGAAAGCAATAAGTTAAAGGTCTGTAAGTTAAGAGATCTTTTCCGGCCCTCCTCCTGCCTCTTCCTCAACAACAGCATGTAATGATACTGATAAGCCTCCAGAGGTGTTATTTGATCACTCAATAAATCTGCAGCTCATTCCCTCATGCCTGTGCAGACTCTTGTAAAGTGTCATATAAAAGTCTGCTGATTTATGACCAGATAAATGACAGAGTTAGTGGCAAATGCTAACCCCGGCTCTCACCAGCTGGTTGTGAAACTGCTTAGAAAAGATGGAGTTTATCCCCTCTACCTGTGCTGAATGAAAACGAATTTCAAATGTTTGCTGTTGGAAAGTTGGTACCACTGAAGGTGGCTCTGTGTTAAGATTTTACTGTTCGGGAAGGTTTTTGTTATTAAAGATCATGTCACATTGTTATGTCTGGAGGCAAGTCAGGTTTAATAAATGAGATGTTTATTTTATTGGAAGTAGTCTATGACTTTCCAAGGATTCATATGATTATTTTATACTCACCTTCATCTCGTTCTGTCCTTTGTAATAGCACTTTCTTCTCTTTATCTTTCAGTCACTCCTTTTATATCTTATGACTATGTATTTTTTCTAAGCTAATATGGACCCATTAATGTCTCCAGTATGTGTTCTGTGGGTGTGTGTCTGTGGGAGAAGGATGGAAGAAGAGAGCGAATCGGATGGATGAAGAATCAAAAAAGGCACATGGCTGGATTACTGCTCTCTTTTTATCCCACGTGCCTCACCAGCAGTGTAGTCCGTGTAATGGGTGACCAAGAGTTCACTGGCTGATAGGAGTGTGCAAGTCATCATTAGCATTTCCCAAGTTCTACTGGCCTGGTAGTCATTGCCACAGGCCCATTATTAAACACTCAGACCAGTGAAAAGTGAATTTTTCTGTCCGGAAACATTACTGTTTTAGTTCACTCTGGCCACTCTCAGTAGCATCGTTTCCAGACGTAGCTCCTGGTGGCTTTTTAGAGCTTTCTTAAGTGTAATTGTTGTAAGTTTATTAATAATGGCATATAAAACAAGGATATAGATGAGCATTAGCCAATTCCCAGCAAAGCAGAGTATTTGGACTTGCTATTGTGCATCATATAATTCATGGTTACATAGTAGCATCCAAGGCAGACAGATTAACGTCTACACAGTGATACATCCTCTGGAGATACATTTAGCATAACGGGGTGTTGATTCCAGTTTGCCATTGCCTCACCACATTTTTCAGCCTGCCTCTACTTCTCATCCCCAAATCCCATTTGAAGCATAATTTCAGTGTTTTTGCAATTAACATTTGATGTATTACAGTTTGTGAAAGTTAAATTCCTTTCTCTTGCTTGGCGGTCGCTGCCAAGGGCTTCTCTCTCTTTCACTGTGAGGCCTGGTGGTTTGTGGGGTAACGTCTCTGAGGGTGATTTATACCACACAGATGTTCTTGGATGAGCAGTTATCCTGTTGGGAATTAGTGTGTGTGTCTGTGTGATGAGTGTAATGCCATTAGCTCCGATACAGAGCTGTCCAATGTAGTGTGCAGTGGAAACACTTACGGTCCTATGGCATTGTAATGAAAAAAAGCATTTCTACCCCCCCACTAATTCAACCTTTTATCCATTACTTTTAGCTATTTCAGCCTTATTATCCATTACTTAAAGCTAACTATTTTTAACCTTTTATCTATAACTATTAGTTAACTGTTTAAACTGTATTATCCATTACTTTTAGCTGGTTGAACCTTTTATCCATTACTTTTAGCTAACTTGTTCAACCATATTATCCATTACTTTTAGCTAACTAGTTCAACCTTTTATCCATCACTTTTAGCTAACTGTGTTTAAATCTTTTATCTATTACTTTTAGCTAGGCCTAACGGTTTCAACCATATTATTCATTACTTTTAGCTAACTGTTTGAACCGTATTATCCATTACTTCTAGCTAACTATGTAAACTAGTTATTCATTACTTTTAGCTAACTGTTTCAACCATATTATCCATTACTTTTAGCTAACTATTTCAACCATTTATCCATTACTTTTAGCTAACTATCTCAACCTTTTATCCATTACTTTTAGCTAACTATTTCAACCATATTATCCATTACTTTTAGCTAACTATTTCAACCATTTATCCATTACTTTTAGCTAACTATCTCAACCTTTTATCCATTACTTTTAGCTAACTATGTAAATTACTTTTAGCTAACTATCTCAACCTTTTATCCATTACTATTAGCTAACTATCTCAACCTTTTATCCATTACTTTTAGCTAACTGTTTAAAGGGTGTATTAAGGCATAGCTGTCTCAATATTTTGATATAAAAATAATTTGTAATTACATTTTTTGAAATTAATTGAGTTGAGTGCTACTACACAAGTAGTCCACATATCCCCTGCAAGCACCCGTATGGGATCATAGTCCCCTGGTGAAATGGTTATGTAAATCTGTGTGTTATCTGCATAATTATAGTATATTTTGTTGTTTTTCATAATCTGAGCCAGTGGAAGCATGTAAATGTTAAACAAAAGAGGCCCCAGAATGGAGCCTTGGGGAACTCCACGTCATTTTTGTCAGCTCAGATGTGTGATTACCTATAGACACAAAGTAGTCCCTGTCCTTTAAGTAGGATTCAAACCAGTTTAGTACTGTGCCAGAAAGTCCAACCCAGTTTTCAAGTCTGTCTAGTAATATGTTGTGGTCGACCGTGTCGAATGCAGCACTGAGATCCAATAGTACTAAGACTGAAATTCTGCCACTGTCAGTGTTTAAATGGATGTCATTGAAGACCTTAACAAGAGCTGTCCCAGTGCTGTGGTGTGGTCGAAAACCTGACTGGAAGACATCAAAACATTTATTTAGTGCCAAGAAAGCACTAAGCTGTTGAACAGCTTTTTCTATGATTTTACTTAAAAATGGGAGAGTTGATATGGGCCTATAATTGCTCATTAGTGAACTGTCCAGATTGCTCTTTTTTAAGAGTGGCTTAATGACTGCAGTTTTCAGGGCCTGTGGGGAAAAAACCTGAGAGGAGAAACATGTTGACAATTTGTAGTAGATCTGAGGCCATGCATTTAGACACATTTTTGAAAAAACCTGTTGGCAGAATATCAAGGCAGCATGAAGAGGATTTCAGATGTTGTATTATGTCCTCCAGGTTTTTATGGTTAATAGAATCAGATTGTCTCATGCTATATGAATTGTTTTTAAGTAGACACAGGGACAAGACATATCCTGTTACTGACATGGAGGCACTGATTGCTTGTCTAATTGTTTGAATTTTGTCTGTGAAGAAGGAGGCAAATCTATTGCAGGCCCTGGTGGATAGAAGGTCAGAGGCTACAGACACAGGAGGGTTGGTTAGCCTGTCGACAGTAGCAAACAGGGCACGTGCATTATTAGTGTTTTTGGTGATGATGTCAGAGAAGAAGGACCGCCTTGCATTTCTCAGTTCTAAATTATAAATGCGAAGTCTCTCTTTATAGATGTCATAATGAACCTGGAGATTTGTTTTCCGCCACCTGCGTTCAGCCTTACATTTTTCACTAGTGTTTTCAGTGATATGCCATTTTGTGATTACCTCTGTTTGTACATTTGTGTGCACGCAGATAGCACTCTCAAAGAAAACACAGGGACATCAGTCATCACAACCTTGGAAATGTTCAGACCCTTGGAGATGACTAAGTCCAAAGTGTGCCCCTTATTGTGTGTGGGCTCTGTCACATGTTGGGTCAGTCCATAATTATCAAGAACACACAGTTCTTTAGTCCCTCTGTCCTGGGGGTTGTCAACATGGATGTTAAAATCACCAACAATAACTACACTGTCAAAGTCAATACAGATTATAGACAGCAGTTCACCAAAGTCATCAAAAAAGTTTGCACAGTATTTAGGGGGCCTGTATATATTCAGAAAAATAGCTTGAGAAGAGGAATTCAGCTGAAGAGCCACATATTCAAGCAGCAACCTTGCAAGAAGGTGTTTCTCCTTTATCAAATTGATTGATATTATATGTCTCAATGCAGGAAGACATGTTTGAAGATAAAACCAGAGCTTAAAGTCTAACACAGCTCTCTTTAATCAGGGGTAGATTCAGACTAGGTTCTTTGGCGCAACACTAACCAGTTGGCTATTTATCAGCAAGTATCAGTTGGATGTTTGGCGCTGGTTATCCCTCTGTTTTGGTGATTGTTGTTGTGTTGTGCAAACACTCAACCTACATTAATTGGCTGGGACAGTGCGTGTAAAAAACATTTGATGGGATGAAGATTTTGTCCCCACTGACATAAAAAAATGCACAATGATTATTGGTTTTCTTCTCGTTTCCAATTATGTCCCTTCGCTATTATATGGCCGTAATGGAGCATTTACTCCATGACATTATTTATAACTGCACTGGAACTGCTAAATCAAGAGTGTGAAAAACATGATCTCAGCTGTCTTGTTCCAGACCTTCCGTCAGTACAGACCTCAGCAGGGGCGGGTGGAAAGAAATAGTCCCTCGCAGGGAATGGATGTTGCAGGGAATCCTCTTCTGGCCCTTCAACACCTCAGCTTATAGTGAGGGACAGGTAAGCCTATTCAGGATTGGGAAGAAGCTGCTAACAGATCCACAGAGTTCACAAACAGATGTCATTCACGTTAGCTTTTGGTGGTCACAGTGTTAAATGTTAGAAATAGGTAAAAGTAATGAGTTCTTACTCCCTTATGATAAATAAATGCTCTCTGTTTATGAGATTATGATTTTACAGTGTTGGTTTTGTGAGTTCATAAGTGATCATCTGGAGGTCATTGTTGTTGCATAACTGCCTGCTTCATGCCTGCTGTTAATGAGGACAAGACAGTATCCTGGACAAATATAGATCAAAGTCACAAACGTCCTGCCTTATTTTTTTTTGGTCGGCTTTCTGCGTGGAATAACAATACTCAATCATTCCCAAGTGTGCTCTCACAGTGACATCACAGTGTCTAAAATAGGAGTCAAAATAAAAATGATCAAAGTCAAACTCAGGCTGCTGTTCACGTTATTGACCTGAGGGACGCCACGAGGTCGAATGGTGGTTGGGGGGGGGGGGGGGGTGGGTGGGGGCACTAAAAAACTGAAATATTATCATCCTTATCTAGATAAATAGACAAACAAATGACATACTGTTAAGAAAGGCTCTGTTTTAAGCCTGGATTTTTAGTTATTAGCATAGTTACAAATGGTGTTGAATTGGCTGCTGTTCTCCAATTATATTTTTAACCACATGGCGTGTGTGTGTGTGTCTGTCTGTCTGTCTGTCTGTCTTTCATTCTTTCGTTCTTTTCTTGAGGAGCATCCAGGCAGTATTTGGAAGAGAAAGACTGTGTGGAAAAGGAAAATAGTGTAAGTGA